GGAAAAGGCAGAACTACAAGGACAGAGAAGGATAGACAGCTGTGGCCAGCGGTTGGGGACAGCGGGTAGGGCACTGATGACAGAACAAAATGGGAACTTTTGTGGTGCTGAAATAGTCTGATCTTAATTGTGGGGGGAGTGGCGGTGGTTACACAACATGGTTTTGTTAAAACTTATACTAAGACTGTATGCCTAAAAAGGGCAGGGATCTTACTAGATATAAATCATAAACTTAATAAACTTGGTGAAAGAAATTATTCTCATTTTTCCCACTGATAGAGCATTTAGAAAAAGCTCTTTTAAGAGCTTTAGTTATGTATTTTCTTTTCATGGTTCCTTTGCCATTGAAATAAAAGGGCCATAAAAGTTAATAAATGTGAACTTGCTTTTCTGTTTTAGGGTAAGATGTTTTATCACCTCTGCCTAAATGAAGGCAACGTAAGAGTCTCATCATAAGAATGTAGTTTTCCTCGCGACTTTATCGGCCACGTAAGCCTTATTTCCGGGGCTAAGTCTGCCCCTGAGAAATCAAGAGCCTGGGTCACAGTGAAGGCTTTCACTGGGCTCCAAGTCCTGCCCAAAAGGGCTTGGGCCACTAATTCCACTTCTTCTAAGCTGGTGGCCAATATATTATCTTTCCCGAACTGAGGGAGACATCAGGGATACTGACACGGGAACGTCGGTCCAGGGTTTCCTGCACCTGTGGCCCCGGTACCTGCGGGCGTGGCTTCAGGGATACCACCTGTCATGCTTGTGCCTGCAGTTGGCCCCACCGGAACCCAATTCCAGGTCCCCACCTCATTTTGGCAGGACTTTAGTAGTTGCAAGGCAGTCTGTTCAAAGCACAGCCTTGGGGGGCCAGGAATTCCACAGGTAAACCCTTGGAAGCAGTCTTGCTGGCGCCTGGAGCTGACCGAGGCCCACGGTCTTTCCCAGTTCTCTGGGACATCCTGAGGCCACCAAGGACTCTCTTGCTGTCTTTGTCTCCTTTCTCAGGGATGCTCAGGGACCAGGTGTCCAAAGCACAATCAATACGAACAACAACTCACCAATCGAATGTGATGGCTTTGAATGCTTTAACCCCACCCCAGAAGGGGGCCGCACAGCTCGTTCCTGCAGCTCCTCCGAGCAGCTGGCCCAGGGGGCTCAGGTGCTGCCGGTGACATTGCCACACCCGCCTCTTCCGCAGAAGACAGAGCCTCTGCTCAAGCGCACCCTTTCGCCCAGGCCTTCACCACACAGTGCGCTGAATCAGCATAAAGGGTACAACAACATCCTTTATTTATGTAATATCATCCTTTACCCAAAGTATCTCAGCAGTTTCCTCGATTTTGCAAACACTCGCGCTCTCCAGTGACTGCCGGCCGAGTGCCGAGTGCCGCAGTGCAGGAGCACCGGTTCCCCACCGCGCGCTCTTGGCTTGTCAACACTTAGGCACGAACGTGGCGCCTCTCGGTTGTCAGAATCCGCTGTGCTCTGCATCGCCGGGGAGGGGGCGCTTAGTAGGGGCCCCTCTGCTGCTCCAGGTGCACACCTCTTCCCTGCACCATTGTCTTCTGAACAACGCACCTGGGCTAGATGGATGGCAGAAAGGGGCCCCCTCCTCCCCGCCTTGTTTCCACCCCTCCCCCAATGTCACTGTGCAACTCTTCCCATCCAGAGGTGGGGCTTGGGCCCTGCCCAATATGGCGTAGTGGGGTGGGCGTCATCCTGCAAAGCAAAAGGTCACCGGTTCAACCCTGGCCAGGGCATGTGCCTGGGTACGTGCCTGGGTACGTGCCTGGGTTGTCGGTTCAGTCCTCGGTAGGGGCGCATGTAAGAGGCAACCGATTGATGTTTTTCTCTCTCTTCAAGGTTTCTCTCCCTCTCATCCTCCCTCCCTTCCCCTCTCTCTAAAGAGATGGGGTTCTGTTTCCCCACCCCTTGAATCTGGGCTGCCCTTGGGTCTTACTTTGGCCAACGGAATGTGGCAGAGGGACAAGGTGCCAGTCTGAGCCTAGGCCTCAAAACCCTGGTACGCTTGCTTGCACTCTCGGAACTCTGCCACCACGAAGCCAGGCTAGTCTGCTGGGGGGCAAGGGTCCACGTCGAAAGGACTCGGCCTGGCCCCGCCAACCCCCAGCCAGCCCGTAGTCTGCACGTGGGTGTGTGTCCGGCTGGGCTGTCTCAGGCCTGAGCAACCAGCCAAGCTGGGCCAGTTCAGACTTGTAAACTCAGTAAACGGGAGCATCATAGGCCACTGTGTTCTGGGTGGTTTGTTTCACAGCAAGAGCCCTCTCGCCCCTACCATAGAGGAAGGTTCTAGGACAGCACATTCAAACTGCTCTTTGTGCTTACAGGTGGAGAGAAAAATGGGCTTTTTCCTTCTTCTGGTGGTTGAGTTAGATATGGATAGGAACAATTGGACTCCATTTCCCTTCCAACTCTATATATTTTTTTTAAAATGTTTCTTGTGAGATCAACAGCAGATTATATGATCAAAGCAAGCAAGTCATGTTCTGTCCCAACGCTGGTATCAAGGTTTCCCCTAATAAGACACAACATAACCAACATTTCACCCCACAGCACAACACAGAGGTCAGGGACAAGGCAGATCATTGTTTTATAAGGCCCCTATTTAAGCGAACCATGAAAAACATTCTTTGAAGGTCATGCATACATTTAAGAACTTCTTGATCACATTTCCCAACATTGACCGACAGTGTGTTAAATCAGCATAAACGGCACAATATCCTTTATTTATGTGATATGTTCCTCCACCCAAAATTGGTTTTCTCGATTTTACAAATACTCTTGCTTTTCACAAGCTTTCATTATTGTCTTCACCTTGCTGTTTACAGGGGCCACATACATCGCTGAGGGTACACAGATCCACACCTACAGTTGCTGTACATTTCCTATCATTCATTATCTTTGGGTCAATATAGAATTAGTAGGATCAGTGTGGGAAAGAATAAGAAAACTACCTTTTTCTGAAAGTAGATTATTTGTTTGGCACCCTCTTTGTAAGGAGCTCATCCTTTTGTTATCTCTGGGTAGGGAGAGTGTCAAAAATTATCGTTAGTGCCTTTTCACACAGGAAGGAAAATGAGAGCACAGAGATGTGAAGCCATATTGGGACGAAGGCCCCAGTAGGAACCTGGGTTTTCGGCTCAGCATCCTACCGCGTGAGCTTTACTTTGTCTACTATATTCCACCTCAAAAGGTATTGGATGACTGTTAATTAAAAGGGCAGGGCAGAGAGTAAATTCCCACCAACTGATCATCCCGGCAGTGCTGTTATTTCTGGCAATTTTTTTTATGTCAGCTAAGGAACCCCGTAAGTTATAAAGCCACCTGCTGCGTCTCCATTAAAACATCCTAACTGACTGCTGCTCTTGCGGTGTGTCCAAGAGAACGGCAACCGCTGGGAGAAACTAGGGATCAACGGCTGCTCCCTTCAGCTGGGCCTTTGTGGCCGTCAGAGGGAGGACAGGGACCACGGTGAGCACCCTGAAAATCTACCAGAACTGCGAAATTAATCTTAGGAATGTTAACTTTTCTCTAGTATGTGAGAACAGATACTCACCAACCACAATAAATGGAACCACCCAGACCACTCCTTTCCACCTGGCTCACTCTCCGTTCCCTCGCAAGAGGGCGGGCATTAAGGGAAAAGCACTTGTATGATAAATTTTCTTCCATTCACAAGGGGAGGATTTGGCTTTTAGTTTCAATGCATTGGAAGATAACAGAATGTTTTCTACTTTTATGATGCCAAGTTACAGGCGCACGATTATTCAGGAAGAAAATAGGGTCTCTGGCCTAAACACATTCCTGCCACCCCGGTCCAGAGGGAGGAAATGCACAGCAATGTTGCGACGCTGTTCTTCCTTCTTGGCGCCCCCTTTCCATTCTGTGTGCGGCCCCCTCCCCGCCCTGGTCACTTCCCACACCTTCTCCTGAGAGGCGTGAAGAATAAGGATGCCACGCAGCAGCACCCTGCATTTTGGGCGATTTCTGGACGGAAGTCCCCAACGGCCTCTGCTGGAGGGGTAAAGAAATTCACCCCAGGGGGACGGCCCAGGGGTAGTGCAGGGGAGGAGGGCATTTGCTGCCACTTAGTCCTGCCTAACAGTTGACGAAAACGTAAAAACATTCAGAGGGAGAGGTAAGGGTTCCTTTTTCCTTCTTTTAGAAAAATGGGAACACAGGAATGTTTGAAAAAACAAAAGGTCTCTCTGCTTGTCCCGAGCTTCCCTCCAGGTTTCACATTTTTAGCCTTTTCCCAAAAGTGCTTACAGACCCTCACCCCCGGGTCTGGCCATGAACAGAAACACAGGCGCCTGCATGTGAGAAGGGGAGCACCAGGTAACACGTAAGAACCATCACCCCTGGAGAACTCAAGAAAAAACCTTAAATAGTAAAAAAGGGTGTGTGTGTGTGTGTGTGCGTGCGCGTGCACGCGCGTAGCAGGAGTATTAAAAAAAATTTACGAAAGAAAGTGAAATACACATACAGGAGGGGAAAAAACACAGACCCAGAGAGCACAGGAGCGCCATACACCGCACGCCACGCAGAGACAAACCACTGATGAAACGGTAATGGGAGGCAGGAGAGACGGACAAAAACCATGCAAGGGAGTAAAAGGTGGAGCAACCGAAGAGCCACGGGGTACCTGAGTCATAGCTTGATATGTGACTGGATGTGACTGAGTGATGATGACACATTCACGTTTGTAAAAAGCCCCCGATTCTGCCGAACAGCCCGGTAGGCGGAGAGTGTCAGTTAATTAGATGCAGATGTACCGAATGGAGCCGCGCGAAGGCCTGATTGGGGCCGCGCCCCGCCCCCCGCCCCTCCAGGCGCAGGTGCTCGCGGCCCCCGTGGCCCCGCCGCCAGGTGGGTACGTGGTCCGGGTGTGCGGGCGCGGCCCGTTAGCTGGTGGCCGGGAAGTCGCGGCGCGTCCGGGGGCATCCTGGATCCCAGGGGCGCCGAGAGCCACGGTGGGCCGCGGGCGCTCAGCGCTGCGCCCCGGGCGCACGAGCATCGGCCTCGCCCTGCTCCTGCACGGGCCGCGAAGCCTTGTCGGGCTCCGGGACGCCGCCCGCTTCCGGGAAGCGGGGCCCGAGCCCCGCGAACGAGTCACAGCAGGGCGGGCTCTCCTCCTGCACCGGGTGGCCCACCGGCTCCCCTGCGCCGCCGCCCGGCCCTGCCGGGCCCTCCTGGGAGTTCTGACTGACGTAGACCACGATGATGTCGCCCTTGAAATTCATCACCTGCCCGCTGGAAATAAACGTGGAGTTACTGTTTCCAGTCACATTCCCTACAGGGGAGAGGAAGAGAGAACACGCAGAGGGTGAGTCATCCATTCGCAGCGAGGACTGGGTCTTGTGAGAGGGGGTTTTCCCAGGGACTCGAGGGGCGAGGGCGGCCCCTCCCCGCCGACGGCGCCCGAAATGCGTCGGGCACCCCCGGGAGGTCCTCCCTCCTTCCTCTTACCAGGCCTGGCTGTGCCCTGGAAGAAGGGTGAGAGAGCCACAGAACTCAGGAAAACAAGAGAGAAGAGAAGGGAGAAGACAAGAGGAGAGAAGCCAGGTGGTGGGCCCTGCCCAGGTTTCGCCCCTTGTCACAGGGGACTCTGGGGGCGCTGGCGCGCGCACCCTGGACCTCAGCTTTACAGAAAAGCTGCTCCTGTGCGGGCCCCCACGTGTGACCCACCAGCAGCCCACGGCCCGTGGCCCAGCTATGGGCCTGCGTTGCAGAAGGGAAGTGAAGGCTGGAGGGGAGGGCTGCCGCCTGTTAGGACCCTGGAGCCCGCCCCAGCCCAGCCTCCTCTCCGGCCAGTCTCACATCTGAGGCCTCTGTCACCCCGGTGCCTGTCTGCCTCCCGCCCTCCCAGGAGGTCCCTCAAGCTCAGCCCTGGAGAGAGCCACCTGGGCTCAGTATTTAGCAAAGGTTACCCGGTTTCCAATTTCCTTCCTTAACATTATTTTTTTTAACTCCTGGAGGGAGAGGGGAAGAGAAATTCAGAAGACTAAAATAGAAGGAAAAAAAAAATCAACCCTATAAATCACTCTTTCCTTCTGAACCCTGGGGAGTGTTCTGTCCCTGGGAGTTTCTATCATCGCTTCTGCGAGGGTGACTGGATTTAGCCAGGGTTTGTTTAATGGGCCTTTTGGAAAACAAATAGGACATTCCACAAATGCTAGGAAACCTGCCACTTCTAATTCTTCTTCTATTTTAAAGACTGATGCTCTCGAATGGCCCCAGATGAAAACTGAAAATAAAGGCCACAACCCAAGCAGATGCAGAAGTGCCCTGACACTCGGCATCACAAACAGAACCTTTGTCTGACCTGGGGAGGTGAACATCAAAGGGGTCCCTCACTAGGAATGTCCTCATCCTTTTTCTTCTTTATTGTGGCAAAGTGCAATAATAATGTACACAAATGCTGTTGTTTGTTACCATTGCACCCGAAGAGCTCCTCTCCAGGTTTAGAAGACATGTTTTGGGTGGTTCAAAATACAGACGGCATCCAGGACATTCCTTTGGGGAGCCTTCCCTTGACCCCCAGGATTACCTGCAGAGAAGCCGGGACGGAGGCATGGTGGCCCATGAAAATGCAGGGGTTTCAAATGTGAGCAACAAACTGAAAGTCACATGGGAAGATTTGTGACTTGCGCTATTTCTTCTTTAGGCAATTGTATGAGGTATATTCCAAGATGGGTAGTGGGGGGATTTATTTGCCTAATGACCCCCTCTAAGCAACATGGAGGAGGCCAGCTAGTATTTCCATTCACCAGCTAGCCAGATTGACCCACATTCTCCATTCCCTCTAAAAACATACTGACAGGTGCTCATAATATGCTGTGAGTTCGAAGCTAGGGGTCCGCTCTCGAGTGAGTCTATGCCTTCCTGCTCCCAGCAGTTACCAAGTGAGTTCTCAGGTATGTTTTCACCAGGTGAACTCATGAGGAAACCTAATGAAAAGCAAGTTGCTAAATGCAAAATGAAAGAATCCACCCACAAACTGCTGAACTGGCACAGTGGTGTGGGCAAGGCAACCGTCGGAAAAAGAAAACAAACATTAAAAGTCCAGGAGAACTTCGCACTCAAATTTGTTTTGCAAATGTCTGTAACTTTTATGTAACTAAAAAAATAGAAACTGGAAGTTAAGGTGGTGTGGTTAATGTGAATAAAGGCTCAGGAAGCTATAATCAACCAATACATGTAGCCCTATACTAGTATGATATTTTAAAAGATAGTTAAGATAGGAACTTGTAAATGGCTTTTCAAAATAATTCAGCAACTCCTGACCAGGGCTGTTACAGGGGGTCCTATAGCAGCAGCAGCCTGAGTGGATAACACAGAAGTCCCCGTAGCTGAGGAATCACCGGTTAGTTAACAGAAAATGTCACAGTGAAAAGACAAAAACATGCATATACCATAGACATTCTAGTCTCATTTAAAATCTACCATGTTTATGTCAAAAAAAATCCAGTAACTTTAAGTTGCTTAGCCATAAGTATTTCACAACATAGTTCCTCTACTTTTTAATTAATACAATGTCCTTGACCACTGGCTTTGTTCTCCATTCCTACCCACTGTGTGATTAATCTCGCCTCTTCTTCATCCTCTTCCTACTGAGATTTCTCTGTTTATGTGAGTTCTCCATCATTTAAAATTTTACTTTCCAACAGGTCATCGTGAATCCACTGTTGTTGACCTTCTTCCTGATCAGAATCTTCAGTTTGTCTGAGCTCAGGTAAAAACCCATGTTTTGACCATCATCTTGTGTGTCAAGATTTTGTGTTACCTTTTTTACCTTAAGAATGTCATGCCATGCCACCGCCTCATGGCAAAGAATATCTTTGATCTATCCTATAGGATCTATATTCTTGTTCTGTGTTTTTTCCCAAAAGGAACGCAACCCTTTGCCTAAGAGATGTATTTGAACATTTCAGAATCCTTTGATTCATAGATTGGATCGAGACTATTATTCTGCGGGGAAGGGGATAGTGGTTAAAGGGTTAAAACAAGGCTTCCAAATTCCTGATGATTAAGATGTAAAGAAAAGCTACCTAGAAAGAGTGTGAGCTTCTCAAATAATTTGATCAAGTCCAGGGCCGTTCCCCCCATGCTGACCATTATGAGAGCAATAAACTGGTACAGACCAGACTTCTTTTAAAAACTCTGATTTGCTAGTAACGATAAGTGGCAGCACAGCCACCGTCGTGGGCGAGTGAGCTGTGCAGCCACTCAAGGCCTTGCTCTCAGAACAGCCCCACGCCTGCTCTAATGCCCTACTGTATTCATCTTGAAATTCTTATTAATTCCTGCACAGGGGGCCTCCTATTTTCAGTTTTCACTGGGCTCTGGACATTACATAGCCTGTCCTGAGCAGTCAGCAGCTCTTGGGAGTATTGCTCTGGGTTTCCCCCACTGATGCTCTAAGTGAGCATCGCTCTTTTGGGAGGTAACGTCTTACAACGTGGGCACATTTCGATATTTCAGAAGTGCTTGCCAGCTGATCTCCTCCATTGAGACAGAACTACTCAGTAGAACACTGAGTTGCAGTGACTATCCACCTGTGTCCTTAAAATAGGAACTTTACGGTATTTGTCCCTTATATTCAAGCCACCGGTCACTTGCCGTAAAACTGTCGACACCAAGTTTCCAACGTAGAACTGAGGCCTGAGAGAGGTCAACCAACTGTAGAGATTCTCCCTTTAACACTTTGCCTACCATCTGTGGTTTCGTTTTCTTTCCCATGGAATGAGAACAGAGCCATCACCGAGCAGCCTAAGTGCAGAATCCTCCCAGAGTTTTGTCCCTTCAAATCTTCACTGTCATCTCCTGCTCCTCAGCCTCAGTAGCAAAAATGGTTAGCGACTCCTTTTTCGAATTGTCCTGAAGCAGTTAACAGAGCCAAGTTTCATGTCTGCCCACGTCATTTTTGAGCAGCAAATGTGCCGGGTACGGTTTTGGAGGACAGCAGGGCCAGCTCACACACTCAGGCCTGGGGCTCAGTAAGCACAGCCGCGCACCAGGTACGAGCAGAGGGCCTGGGCGTTCCCAAGGGACCCCTGAGGTGTGGGCGACCCGGGTGCTGTGGGCTTCGGTCAGCTTCCTTACAGAGGGCGAGGGGAGTGTGGGCCGATCCACGGGTTACGTGGAGAGACCCAGCGCGCCTGTTATGGCAGTGACAGTGGAAGAGATGCCACCACCAACCCAGAGCTCGCTGAGTGTCTCCCCATCATGCCAGGTGGGCTGCTCTGCGCACACCAGCTCCCAGAGGCTTCCCACGTGAGTGCTCAGGTTTGCTGCTTTGTCCCCTCTCTTGGCTGACGTGTCTGTTTTCATGGCTTGTCATAATGCAAATTCATGCGCAAGTAATCTAATGACGCCGATGTCCCTGGTGTTTTGGCCTCTGGAGAGCAGAAGGTGCAGAACCGGTGATTAAAGGCTGCAGGTCTCGGTGGCTGGCTGACTACAGGGCGGTGAGGTACAGGGCGGGCAGAGGACAGGGCCGGGTCTGCAAGCTCTTTGGTCTCGTCCGGGCTCGGCCCCACTGGCCGTGGAACGTGGAGCAAACCACCTACCCACTGCCTAGACCCCCGTCTGCTCGCTGTGGAAGCGGGTGCCAGCCTGGAGGCCTGCTGGCCTGGCAGGGTGCGGCCGCACAAGGAGGAGTCCGATAGATGCCAAATGGACAAACAAGTGAACATGTGGACACTGGGCAGGACAGCATGAGGGTCAAACCAGATAATGGACTCTGAAAGGACTTGGGAAAGAGCAAAGAATTAGTCACAGGGGCAACGACGGCACTCCTAGTCCCCGGTAGTAGGAGCGTCCTTGAACCCCCAAGGAAACCGAGACGGGGGACACGCACTGCGCCGTGATGCTGTCTTTCCATCGCTGTCTTGTTGGAGGCTCCCCAATGTGTCTTGGAGGCTGAATGGGCCCTTTCCTCTAGAAATCTAACCAACTGTTGTTTTCTTTGCAGGAGTGATTCATCCTTCGGACTGCCTCTGGTTTGACCGCTCATCCGTGTAGTTCTACACCCACGTGCATGATCTCGCGTCTTGCTGTGCCAGCCGGCTGCGAGTGCAATGCGGCACTGGAGTAGGTCAGTGTGTAGAATGAGTTGGCCATATCCTGACCCTGTCGTAACCCTGTCCTGAACTGTCTTTGCTTAAAAGAAATAATTCCTTACAATGCGCTGTCCACTTTTCAGAAGAGAAAAGTTCTACGGGGTTATGCAAGCTCAGCCCAGAGGACAAGAGCCGGGGTGGCCAGTCAGCTGTCGCCATGCCAGCAAGC